TTTCTGGTTACTAGACTGTGAACCCTTTGCAGACAGGGACTGTGCTTTATTTATCTTTTATACCATCTACATTTTCTTAGTATAGTAAGAATTTGGAGAGGACAGACAGAAGAAAGGATTTAGGATGTAAAAGAGGAACAAGAAATCTTTCATTTTACATTTAACTATATGCATACTCTGTATTCTCAAACTAGTTTTTGCTTCTATCTTTCTGTGGGATATTGTTTAATTTGAAAACTAATCATCATAATTAAACTCTTGCCAAGCAAATTTTGACCACCTTCAAGTAGATAGATAAACAACAATTAACTCACATACTAATGCATTCTATTTGTTTTTTAATTTCGTGTATTTTGGGTAAATGGGAAAGAAAAAATACTGTATTCTTGTTTTTGTTTGCTGAACATTTGTGTAGTTGCCTGTGCAATGTGTTTTTTATTTAGAGCTGTGGAGCCAGGTATGCAAAAATGGAAACTTCTTTTTGCATAATTAAATTTAGCTTAACTCTCTGAGCTTATATACACTGGGTAGCTAAACTTAATCTTGCCAATTTAGAAAATTCAATCTATTTTGGATTATAATTCAGTTTCTTTAGAAAAACTAGTTCATATCTTTTTCTCTCTTCTTCCCTTCTCTGAATCTTTGTCTTGTGTAACTAGATATCAGGGGAGGAAACTGTTGATAGTGTATTATTCCTCACTTGATGGATTATAGCATAAACTCTCTTCCCCTTAAGGCTTTGCCATTGATATATTCAAAGTTCTACTTCAGGAATTAAAAAAGAGAAACTTTTACCTCTGAACCAAGTCTAGCTTTTGCAAACAAAATGTGCTTCTACTTTCAGCCTATTCTCTATACTATAGACTTAGAAAATTCTACTGTGGCTCTCGAAAACCAATGATTTACCTTTTTGTTCTCACTGAATTTTGTTTGTTTTCTACTTTCCCTAGGACAATAGATTTGACCTTTAAATTCTGGCTTTACTTGTTGAAGACCAGTCAGGTACAGGGGTTCATTCCAGTAAGCTCAACACTTTAGGAGTCTAAGGTAGGAGGATCGCTTGAGGCAAGGAATTTGATACCAGCCTGAGCAGCATAGCAAGACCCTGTCTCTCTAAAAAATTAAAACAGCCATGCATGATGGAGAGTTCCTGTAGTTCTAGCTACTTGGGAACCTGAGGTGGGATGATCAGTTGGGCCCAGGAGTTTGAGGTTGCAATGAGCTATGATTATGCCACTGCACCCCATCCTGGGTGATACACACACATAAAACTGAACAGCTAGAAAAACATTATAATTTTAAAAATGCATTTCAGAATTTTACTGGCTACACTTGCTGCAGTGACTGAACATGGAGTCAGCCAGAGAAGCTTGCACCAAAGAAAGTACCTTTTAGTCAAAGATCGGTTCCCTTATTATCCTGTGTATTACAATTTTCCAACATAATAGAAATTACCTTTGCATTTCAAGGTGGCTATAAAATGATTGATAGAAACTGCTAATAATTCAGCAATTATTTCCTCTTAAATGCATGTATTTCAGCATTTGCACTAACACCAGGACATTCCACCCCTCACCTCAGAGCAAATGTTAAGCTGATACTCTGAAGTTACTAAGAAAAATCTTCACTATGTGACAATCCTTCAAAACATAATATTCTAAATGTGCTTGTTCTATAATAACATATTCTCTTTCTTTTAACCTCATTTTAAAAATGAGGCAATTGTTGAATTCAAGTATATATACTTTAGAAAAAAATATTTTGAGAAGAGAGCCAAATGACTTTTGCTGTGTTTAAATAGCAAACCCATTCCATTAGCAGCAAAGTCTAAAGGGATTCAACAGTAGGAAGTTGTATATAAGATATTTGGCATTTTTTTTCTTTCCTAGAGGTTTAAAGGCTGTGTAGCCAGGCCTAAAAACTCAAGCCTTCATGAAGGTTTTTTAGCCACTTAAATTCACCAGAAATATAAATAGCAAAGAAATAATCATTTTTAAGAATTGTGTTTGTTTAGTTATTGTGCATATGTGGGAGGTACCTAACATTTTGATTTTCTTTTTCTGGCATTCTGTGTTTAGAGCTTCATGCAAGTAGTTGTTGTTAGCATTCTGTAAAGCATTCAGGGTAATGGAAAAGCGTCACAACAATACAAGATTTGTGAACCTTTTCTAATACTTTTGTGCTATATTTAATCTTAATAATTTCAAAGATCATTTACACATCTTCTCCAACATTCTCACTATAGCTGCTTTGAGTTGAGTCTCGATATAGCTTCTTTCACTTATTGTTTTTTCCATATTGTATACATTTATATAAGACTTTTGTTTCCGTATCTGGCCTTACCTCTATAATTCTTCAACAAGATTTAACACCATGACTTCTGACAGCATTATTTAATTGTGAGCAATAATCACACAACCTTCTGAAAGCCAAACAAAAAAAGAACTAGAAAAATTCTTGCTATATTTTCATTTGCTACTTTAAATAATAAATTCATGAGCATATAAATTATACTTCTTCAGTAAGAGGTAACTACTCATTCATTGTTGGTGAATATTCTTTGTATATTTTCTCCTCTGCAAAATTCACTAGGAAAAAAATTGTACAAGCTATAGTTTCATCTTTAATTAAAAAGAAATATTACCAATCTTCCAAGAATGGACATTGTTTTTTCTGTAAATATTCTTTCACTTTTATAGGACTAAGAAAAATAGCTCTGCAATATAAAATTAAGCACCTTAGTAAATACAGATTAAACATTCATTGAATATATACATCTTTCATTTGTTAAAAAAAATCTTGCCAATGTACTTGAAAAACAGTGGCTTCTTAATGTGTCATTAAAGTGCACATCTGTGGACTTCTTAACTGATTATTATTATGATGCCTTCTAAACTCAAATGCATACTTCTGTTCCAAGGAAATATGATAATATACATATATACATATGCTTTCTGTTGAGACTGGACCATGACTGTATTTACTATAAGCCTTAATGATACATTCATAAGTGAATGCTACAGTTAGGTTAAAGTTCTAGTGAATTTATAATGAAGGTATTCAGTGTTTAATACTTTTCATGTAAATGATTTGAATGCCCATAATATGGGTAAAATTTACCTAATTTCAGATCACAGATATGTGTTCACCTGTGTTCATAACCCACGATTTAGGAATGTCTTATAAGAGAGCTTCATTTATTCAACAAGCATTCTCGTTAGCCTAACAAGTGCCAAGTATTATAACAGATATACTACATAGAATACCTCAAGGAATAAGATAAAATTCTTTTCCTCAGATATATTTCAAATTCTGCTAGAGAGATGGTTTTATACGCAAGTAATTAAAACACAGGAAGAATCTCTAATTCACCATTTTATGTGAATCCCAAACAACATGGAACAAAGCTGATTTTGTTGTAGGGAGAGAGGAATGAGGGAATGGATTTCCTGAGGCAGGAACATTTGCCTAGTGGCTTGAAAGAATAGTTAGGAGTTGAGCAAGCAACTCAAAGGGGACAGACTGTCTAGGCCAAGGTTCTAATATGCCCACAGGTCAGAGGCTTGGAAGATGACGAAGGATTTTGGAAATCATAAAATGTGTATAACTGAAACATAGGGGCCTGCAGCAGAATGGTAGGAGTCAGGTCTCAAAAAGTCAATAGGGACCATATTTAATGGCAGTTTGACTTCATTTTCTTTTTTAAAAAATTATATACATATAATTTAAATATATGAATTTATATTTATAAATAAATTTTAAATATACATATTAATAGATAAATAGATAGAGCCTCACTGTCTTACCCAGGCTGGAGTGTAGTTGCATGTTCAAAGTTCACTGGAACCTCAAACTCCTGGGCTCAGTCAATCCTCCCACCTCAGCTTCCCAAGTAGCTAGGACTACAGGCACATGCTGCCACTCCTGGCTAAATTTACTTTGTTGTAAAGAAAGGGTCTTGCTGTGTTGTCCAGGCTGGTCTTAAACTCCTGGCTCCAAGTCATCCTCCTTCCTAGGTCTCCCAAAGTACTAGGATTACAGGTGTGAGCCACTACACCCAGTCTGATTTTATTTTCTGTACAATAAGGGGGAAATGTGATTCTGTAAGGAAACTGAGGAGTGATTGTCCTCCGTAGCTCACACACACAGTCAAAACATATACACAGGCAGATTGAGAGAGAGAATGACAAAAAGAGAGATACAGACAGAAGGAGAGAGAGACCAACAGAGAGAGAAAAAGAGTTAATGATATGTTCTGGAATTCCTGAGATCTTTTTGTTATAAAAGTTTTCTGTGTATGTTTTAAAGAAATAGCTGTTAAAGATATTAAGTGGGGATTCATGTGATAAGGCCAGAAGCCAAAACATTAATTCTTTTAGTATTCTGTTAATTTCTTAGAAATATCATTGCCACATATTTGCACATCTTCACTCATTAGTTTTATCTGGGAGTATTAATCATTTTATAGAGAAAGAAAATATTATTGTGCTACAATAACTTCCTGCTGGCTTCATGCCCCACTCATCTAAAGAAGAATGGAGAGGAGGTCAGGAGACACTCTTCAGAACAGGCAACTTTCTCTGGAATTAACTTGTTTAAATCAATCTTTCAAAAGCCTTATGTATATATAAGTTTATAATATTGCTTTCATTCACAATATAGCATTTCATCATAACATATTTTATTTTTATTTTAATCAAGAAACTCTTTAATTTCTACCTCTATTTCATTCTAACATCTAATCCACTGGAACTAGAATCTGAAATAATGTGCAGTCAATACAAATTTATGTTAAAAATGTAACATTTTATATTTCATGGGTTTTAGTATTAAGGGTAAAGGGATATAAGCAATATATGACTATTTTTTTTAAAATAATTCTCAGTCTTTCATTTCCAATGACTTATCTGAAGTCAGAAATTAATATAATTATAACATGCTATATTCGTATGATTTTAAACACACACACACACAAACTAATTTGATTGATTTACTTACAGAAAGCCATATCCTGGAAGATGTCAACAAGTGTATCATAGCCTTAAGAGACCAGGATGCTGATAATTTAGACCGTGCCGCCGGTGCTATCAGAGGCCGGGCAGCAAGAGTTGCTCACATCGTCACGGGTGAAATGGACAGTTACGAGCCAGGGGCTTACACTGAAGGTGTAATGAGAAACGTTAACTTCCTTACAAGTACTGGTAAGTCCATTGCCAATAACAGCTACACTCTTTCTCATATTTGAATCTACATAGCTACCAAATATTCATACATATGGGAAAGATTTCCATTTGTGTTGCTTCTTTTGACATACATTGCTATACTATCTGATCGGTGCTGGCACACTGTGGTTATACAATTTGAAATTTATCTCTGAGAAGTAAATATATTCATTGGTGAAAAGAGGTCTACAAATGTACGCATTGTATAAATTACTCACAGGCCTTAGCCAGAAACCACTTAGAATGTATGTTAATGCCTTATCTGCTAGGAGATACAATTGGGCTGGCATGGTTTTAAGTATGTGATAGTCTCCAAACCCTCTGTTCACTGTATCATTAATATCCCCAGGTTTTTGTTTACATTTCTTAAACATAGGAAGTCTATCCTGTGTTGCCAGAGAAATGTTCTTACTTTCATCTGCAGTCTGTTTGCAAAACAGCGATTTGTTCTTGTACATAATCTTCTTTGATTGCATGGGAAATATGGAACCAGTATTTTGTTTTGGTTGCAGCATTCAAGTAATATTTTCTAAAATCAGCCAGTAAATGCCTAGTTTTTGACTCTTTCAGTAAAATGACGCTTTCAGAACTATTGTTAACATTTCTCCAAGAAACTTACAGAAGTGTCTGAATTCATATGTATTCATAAACAATGAGGACACTCAACTATTTGTATAAGTCATGATAGCAGAACTCTTTCCTGTGAAAACCCTTGTGAATTCGTGAAATCTTTAGGTTAAATATTTTTACTATCACCTCCTAACACTAGGATGATGATGGTGCCTCTGTGAGTCCTAAAATATCTGAAATTCCGTACTTAAGTTATCGATCCTAGAGAATCATTTTTCATGTTAAGCATATGGAATATGAAATTTGATGTGCACATTGTTTAGCAAAAGGAGTAGATGAAACAAGAATGAGTCATTTTTTAAATTTTTCTTTTATTTTTGAAGCCAGTCCTTGAAATGAATTAAGAGAAACAAACCAACAGTTGAGTAATACTCACTAGAGACTAGGTCTGAAGCAGTATGCTGCGAGGCAAGCTTAGCAAAGTTTGCAGGGAACTGATGGTCCGTTTCGCTGTTTTTCTAGTAAGCTGATAAACAAAATCATTGATGAATCTTGGTATGCAGTTTTCTTATTATCTGTTTGAAATATTTCTAAAATAATGAGTTGCTAGCAATGTGGTCAGGAAAGATAAAACTCTAAATATTAAGTTTATGTTTCTATAGCCACTCCCCAAAGTCACCAGTGTCAAAAGGGCACGTAGTACACATGGAAGTTAATTTTTCAGTAAGTTGTGGTAATATATTTACTTGTTTAAAAAGATGATTGTGCTATGGTCATTCAGTATCTCTTCCCTAAACTAAATTTAAGCACTCCTTTCTTGTTGGTCAAAATCAAGTACAGAGTTATCTGGGTCCCTGATTTTTTTTTTATACTTTCTGATAAAATAGAATGTTAAGTAAAAAAATGTAACAGTGTTTTTTTTTTTTTTTTTTTTTGGACAAATAATTTCCGATCAGGAATTGATTAGGTAAAATCTAGCTGGACTAATATTTTGCCTCTGTCTCAGTTTTATAATCATGTTAGACTTATGAACACGCTCTTTTTGATCAGAATGTCTGGTGGAGGTACCAGATTTACAGTTTTATGCTCTATAGGCAAGAGTATGCCACTGTTTGCAATCATTTCAAAATCAGAAAATACTGAAAGTTATTTACACACTTAATTACAAGTTTGTTAATACCTCTTTGATTTATAATGACCTTTCCAGGTAGCTAATCAATATGGCTACATTATCACATTCAGAAGAGAAAAAAGCTTTTTTCCTCTAATTAGTTGTATATAATTTTAATTAAAATTCTCTAGATAAATTATGTCCTATATCTCCCAAATATAATGAGTATAATATGAGTCTGGGTTATTGTATATAAACAGCACCTTATTAATAGTTTATGACTATTATAGTTTATGACATTCCAATTTTGTTAATTACTCAGATAATTTTTGGTGTATCTTTGAAAATCTTTCCATTTTTGTTTTTGACTAATTCCAAACTATTCTCCAAATACCTTTCCTTGAAATTTATGAAAGCAGGCCTCACTAAAGGGAATTCTGAGCAATAAATTAGATGAGAAAGCTAATTAGATCAGTTTGATCTTAACCAAAACTGAAAAACGTGAAAATGTTCTTTCCCATGGAGGTATTGTCTATGAAAGATACTTCCAACTATTCTGTCCTCCACAATTTGCTAACAGGAGATATTCGCCTTTGTTTGCATCTGCTTCACATCTTGGACTTATTTATAAATAATTATCAAATTAAATAATTGAAAATATCATGTTTTGTGTTGTGAGGCCTTGGTAGTTTACTTTTTAGCAAGTGAACAGTAATATATGGGGACTGTTTTTCTCTTTGTTTCCTTTTCTTTTACACAGTCCTCAAGTCTTAACCTTGCTTTCTGAAAATGACTTAATGAAGAGCTATTGTGAATTGTTTTTATTACCGAGACTTTTCTATCTTTGCAAAATTTGCCTTAAAGTATTGTTATAAATGATGAAATATAAGTCATACTTATCTGAATCACAAAGAATGTTTTTAGAACATAGCACCTTTGGTTTTAATCAGACTCTGCAGCTCATTAGTACATTTTCAAATTTTGATGATCTTCTAAGTATTTTCTCAGCATTAAGAAGTAGGGCTGCCCTATTATATATCAGAAATTTATATTGTTCACATACTCTCACAGTTGCTTTTGAGTGAAATGTAGTCAACATCTGGAATGTTACACTGCACTGAAATAGAAGCATAATATTGTAATCTTCATGTGAAATTCTTTATTCCACCCCCACTCTTCCCTGTTACTAAGCTCCTCCGCCTGTCAGGAATTATTGATGGGAAAGATAAGACATAATAGCTTTTCTGATAAATAAACCTTCTGGATTATATTGTGAAGGCTTACAAATTATGCTCTTAGTGTCAACTTCAGTTCTTTTGTACTATGTTGGAAAAAAACCTAAACTGGAAGTGGACTGACATAGGACATTTTTGTGTGATTTATGAACTCTATCAAATTCAGGAATCCGCAAGCCCAAAGCTTCTGTTGCAAACCTCCAAGCTCCACCTGGTGTTACTGTTAGCCAGGCTCATGAACCAAAACAGATCAGGTACAGCACATAAATGAATGTGACCAAGATATCCTGGTGGCATCCACTGTTGGCAATTGGAAGTGATGGCAAATAAAGGTTCATTCATCAAGTATCTGATGAGGCCAAGCCTGGAAACTGCATATCCAGAATTCCCTCCTTCTTAGAATGGACAAGTGCAATATAGTTACTTTTTGTTGTTGTTGTTTCAAAAGCAAACGCGACAGTTGGAAGAAATTTTGAGCCAATAAATGTTTCTAAAATTTGGTTTTAAATTGTTTAGTCTAGTTTAAACAGCAGATACAGCTGTAAGGTATATTTCATTTAAAACTTAGTTTGAAAAACCTTTAATAGCAGTTGGCAACCCCTATCGATCCCTTTCATTGAATATAATTTACATATACATATCTTACATTCTGTAGCTTGATTAAAACATGCTACTTTTTCTGTATTGCAGCTCTGTCCTACAAGCTTAAGTAGTTATAAAAATTAATGGTTTTAGTTCTAGTAGTCCTTACCCTCTGCAGTCCAGCTGTGATTGAAAATTAGTAGTCTACATACTAGATATGACTCAGAGAATTTTTATATGGCCAGTGGAGTTTTGATCAACGTAATTTTCACTGGAATTGGCCAGAGCTTAGTGGTGTCCTCTTTCTCATGAGCTTTGGCCATGGTCTCTACCACACCATAGTCTCTTCCACTCTCTCTCATTATATACCCAGTCTTCTTCACTCACTTAATTTACCTTCTTGAACTCTGGAGGAATTTGATTTCACCTGAAATTTTATTTCTAACTTTTTTTTCTGATGTGAACCAAAAGGCACCTTGCACTTTACTTAATTTAATACTTCCAGAGTCGCAGGGACATGCCTTTACGTGTTCTCCATGCCATCTCTCTTTTTCAATATCTCTACCCCTTGTTTCTCATAACAAATTCTATTCATATTTCAAGAAAAAGCTTATCTTTATGTCCTCAAGGAACCTTTGGCAATGATGAATTCTTTGTGTTCTTATGCCCTGTAGCACTTAAGGGACATGCCACTCAGTTATGTCATCTCAGACAAGTACATGCTATTGATATACTTCTCAGATATACTTACATAAAAATGGCTTTTCTTGGCCAGGCGCAGTGGCTCACACCTATAATCCCAGCACTTTGGGAGGCCAAAGTTGGCAGATCACTAGGTCAGGAGTTCGAGACCAGCTTGGCCAACGTGGTGAAACCTGTCTCTCCTAAAACTACAAAAAAATTAGCTGGATGTCACAGCATGTGCTTGTAATCCCAGCTACTAGAAAGGCTGAGGCAAGAGAATTGCTTGAACCCAGGAACCAGAGGTTGCAGTGAGCCGAGCCCTGGTACTGCACTCCAGTCTGGGTGATAGTGAGACTCTGTTTCAAATTAAAAAAAAAAAAAGGCTTTTCTTTCAAAATGGACTATGAGATACAGGAGAAAAAAATACCTGTATTATTTCTGTTTGAATCTCTCCCAGGGTGTACCATGTGTCACGTGTTAGAATTAAAAAAAAAAAAAAATCAAAACCCAAAACGAAACCTCTTGAACTCTCGAAACCTCTTTAACAAAACCTCTATGGCTTTGCTAATTCTATCCTTGCAGTTGGAATGATTACCTTTTCTTCTCTACTGCCTGCTTAAAATATAATCATTCTAAACACTGTCTCAAATGCCACCACCTTTGCAAAGGAGCTTTTGATTCCCTTTCAGTTAGAATTAATTGCTCCATTATCTGTATTACTATGAGCTTGTCCTCTAGTTAATGTTTATTTCACTTTGCCTTTGATCATAATCAGCCATTTACATACAAGTTTCTCC